GCTTCTTTCAGATAAGTCCTGGTGGTCCCATACCCCTGCCCCAGCCCACCATTTTGGGGTCATTTCCATTCAAATGCGTTCAGTGGGTTGTTCCTTTCTGATCTAGAGCTTAGATTAAAGCTGTCCTTTGGTAAACCCTTCTCCCTCATCTCCCTCCAGCTCTTTGAAAGTGAATCTCTAATTATAGGCCATGTTTGAGATTTACTAGATGAAATCAACAGCTGTAGATATGACACTAGTGTTGCAAAAAATCGACACACTGTTGCCATAAAAAGCCCAATTGTTAATTGCTTCTTTGGCATCTGGCTATAACAGAAACACCCTTTTGCTGTTTAATACTAAAAGTAAATGTGGAAAGAACATGAGGCTAGATTTAGAGGAGGCTACCTATCGTCGAGGGCTTGTGATTTGGGGGCAAAATATTTTATTTCTCTCAGGTCTCAGTGTCCCTGTCTACAAAATTGAGGACATGAAACCAAATTATCACTTTCAGGTTAAAAATTCTATTCTGGGAGCTGGGGTTGTGGCTCAGTAGTAGAGCACTTGCCTGGCACATGTGAGGCACTGGGTTCGATTATCGACACCACATAAAAATAAATAAATAAAATAAAGGTATTGTGTCCATCTACAACTTTAAATTTTTTGTTTGTTTCTGGATTAGTCTTTTTAAAATTTATTTATTAACTATTTTAATTAGGTATATATGATAGCAGAATGCATTTTGATTCATTGTACACAATTGCAGCACAACTTTTCATTTCTCTGGTGGTTAAAACTTTTTAAAATTCCATTCTGAATCTTGAAAATACAGTGTACTTCTCATTCCCACCCAGCCTTTTCCCATGACTTTACTCTACAATTAACCTAATGCAATTTTACAATTTGTAATACAGTCAAGAACCACAACAGTGGCTCAGTGGTAGAGCACTTGCCTAGCACAAGTTTGAGGCACTGGGTTTGACCCTCAGCACTGCATAAAAGTAAGTGAATAAAATAAAATAGTATTGTATTCATGAAAGAAGGAAGGAAGGGAGGGAGGGAACCAATCTTTTCTGAACTGAAATTTGCTGTCAGGTCCTGCAGTTCTCAGCTGCAATCCATCTGGGTTCCATGTTGCAGGGTCTTCTTTTATTCTTGAAAAGTGTGGACCTGGGATATACATGAAGATTCTGGGTTAGGTACCATTGCAGACTCAGAGGTTGTGGGCTGAAGACACCAGCCAGGGCTGTCCAAGGCTCAGGGCAGGAAGGGTTGAGCAGGGTCAGCTCATSCAGGTGTTGCTATTTGCAGGCCTCTTGCCCAGCGGTGCTGAGGGTCAAACCCAGTGCCTCACTTGTGCTAGCACGAGGCCCCTCAGGCCATTGCCCTGGTTTTATTCATTTCCCTGCCCTGGTGCCTGCCCATCTTGCTCTATTCACTGGGTTCTTTGTCTCCTCCAGCTCTGGGTGGCTGGGAGCCTTCTGCTTTCCTCTGCTCACTGGCTCTATGACTATCCTTTATTTCCTCAGCTGCTAACCCTGAGGACAGCCTGTGTTCTGGTCAACCATAAAGTGGAAACCATGTCTTCTAAGCCTCAAGACAGCTAGCCATGTGCAGTTAATAATACCCATTCTTTGCCTCCATTGTAGAAAAATCAGTAGGCAGTTTGGGAAAGAAACATGTATCAATATTTCATTTTTTGTTACAGCTAAATAATATTCCATTGAAGGGATATACCACATTTTGTGTATCCAGTCTTAAGATGATAGATCTTTGGGGGTTTTGTTTTGTTTTGTTTATTATGAATTTGAACATCCATGGACAAGTGTTTTTTTTTTAATATATATATTTTTGGTTGTGGATGAACCTTTATTTTTTATTCATTTATTTTTATGTGGTGCTGAGAATTGAACTCAGTGCCTCACACACACAACCCCAGCCCCACAGACAAGTTTTTGTGGAGATATATGCTTTTGGTTCTCCCCAGTAGATACCGAGGAGTGGAATTGATGGGTCAAATGTTAACTCTATGTTTAATATTGAGGAACTCCCTGAAATGTTTTCCAATGTTGTCACACTCTTTTACATTTCCCTTGGCGATGTATGAGAGTTCCAATTTCTGCCCATCTTTGCCAGCACTTATTGTTGTGCACATAGTATTTTAGTTAGTCTTTCACTTAAATATTTACTCAAWTTGGGCTAAAATTCCAATGCACCACCCACATGTGGACGATGGGTTCAAAGAGGGCTCAGTCATTTATTCAACATCTATGAGGTCCGTGACCTGTGGTAATAGGATCTACTGCCGTGGAGGGCTCACAATCCAGGGGAGGTAGATGCACAATTGCCATTATAGATTGCTCACCTACTGGGCTAGGACCTGAGGCTTCTTTGGAACCTAAAGGAGGAGCTACACAGGAAACGGTCCTTAGGGGTGGTGACACTTGAGTTCAGTCCAGAAGAAAGAAAAGGAGAGAGAGAGGCAGAGTAGAGAGTTGGTTGGGGAGAAGGAAGTTCAGGAAGAGAGACCAACACCTGCCTAGGAGGTTCAAGAGTTCTGGGGCTTTGAAGGACGGGGCTGCCCAGAGCTTCTGAAGGCTGGAGGGACAGCGTGGCATTGGGATGGTGGTCTGGAAAAGACCTTGGGAAGGTAAACAGTAGTCCATGCCAGGTGTTTTAACTCTCTCCTCAACTCGTGGTGCCATGGGGGGATTCTGAGAAGGGAGCCGTATAGTCGGGTTCTCTTGGGGGACCCACATGGCTGCAGAGTGGTGAACAGTAACTAGAAGGATTGAGACAAGGCAGGGAGGATAAGGCTCTGCCTCGACTTTGATGAAGGCCTGGCATTGGCCTAGTTTGGGAATTGCTCCTGGGGTTGTCCTGTGTCACCCCCTCAGAGGAGGCTGCTCCACAAGGGAAGTCAAGGGCAGCCAGAAAGCCCTCGTGAGAGGCTGGTACAAGGTGGCCCAGAGCCTCAGCCAGCTCCGAAGGAGAAACCTGTCTCCGTTTGGGAGAAGCCTGCTCTGGCCTCTCAAGCCCCCGCTGAGGCACAGTCTGCCCTGAGCTACAAGGGCTGGGGCAGTCCCAGCCCGTCTGATTTCCTGCTTCATCCCATCTACCTTTCCACACGGGGCCCCTGGCCTCTCCTGGGAGGAGAAGCCGGCTTTTCCGCTTCGCCCTGTGGCCTCTGCCGTGTGTGGGAAGCCCTTTGCCGCCCTGGGGCCTGGGTCCCCATCAACAAGGTCAGGTTGTGGTAGGGGCCCAGACCCAAGATGGTGCAGCAGACCCCACGGCAGCTTTCAGTCTTCTTTACAATAATTAGAATAATCTTATAAAAACATTTTAAACACAATCACTGGCATTTGTGCACTTTATTAGTTTACACATTCGTTTTTAAATACCTCAGGGGGAAAAAATCCTCTAAGTACATCATCAGCAGCCAATTTCCACATGGCAATCATTGAGCAAATATTGAGTGCTTCAACATTTTTTCAGAAGTCTCTTTTGCCTTTCTTGTTTCATTCTTATAACTGAAATTTAACACCAATCTTTTGTGTCAAACTCAGTGGATTTTCACATATTGCATCCAAATTAACATAAAATCATCCCAGAAGTTTCCCTCCTGTTCCTTTGCACTCACCCCCCGACCCCCAAACACACCAAGAGGTTACCTGTCTTCTACCCTTCATCACCATAGACAGGTTGTGCTTGTTCATGGGATTTGAATCACCCAGTGTATGTATGCTATTGCCTCTGGCTCCTTTTGTTCAACATTTCTGTGAGAGTCATATGTGTTCTTGCACATAGCTACTAACACTTGTTCTTTTTCATTGCTGTATAGTATTATGTTATATGAAGATACCTGGTTTCCTGTTAATGAACACTTGGGCTGTTTCCAATCTTTAGCTATTATATTTTAARCTGGTGTGAATATTCTAGTATAGTCTTTTGGTGGCCATCTGTACTCATTACTCCCAGAAATTAAATTACTAGATCATAAGTAAGCATGTGCTTGGTTTTGTAAATGTTACTGAGCAATTGCCCAAAGTTGTTGAGTCATTTTTCACTCCCATCAAGGCATTGGACTTTTTTTTTTTTTTGTAAAGTTTATTTGATTTATTTATGTTATTTGTTTGTTTTTGGTACTAGGGATTGAACTCAGAGGTGTTTAACCACTGAGCCACATCCCCAATCCTTCTTTGTATTTTATTTAGAGACAGGATCTCTCTGAGTGGCTTAGGGCCTTGCTAAGTTGCTAAGGCTGACTTTGAACTAGGGATCCTCCTGCCTTAGCCTCCTGAGCCCCTGGGATTATGGGCAGGTGCCACCACACCCAGCTTGTAAAGTTTATTGACATTAAAATCAAGAAAAATACATAATACAATGCCTCAAACCTAACTTTATTTTTTCCCCTTTTACTGGAGCTTTAACCCYGGGGTGCCTTACCACTGAGCCATATCCTCAGCCATTTTTTATTTTGAGACAGGGTCTCATGAAGTTGCCAGGCTGGCCTAGAACTTGTAGTTCTTCTTCCTCAGGCTCACAAATCTAACTTTCAATCACTTTTTTTTTTTGACATTTTTTCCGATTAATTACCTTGTAATCCCTCCCTTTTTTAATAGAGAAATCATAATCCATCTTTATTCTTTTCTTCCTCCCTTCTTTTCTTTTCTTTTTTTTTTTTTTAATTCAGTGCTGGGATGGAACCCAGGGCCTCATACCTGCTCCACCACTGAGCTACACCCCAGCCCTCACCCTTTTTAAGTAACTGTACTGTTCATTGCTGTTTTAGTGTGTCCACACAGGTGTACAACCACCACCATCGTCTAATTCAGCACATTTTCATCTTCCCCCTAAGAAATGCCAGTTCCATTAGTAGTCACCCCACATCCCTTCCTCTCCCAAGTCCCTGGCAACCACTAATCTACTTTCCGTCTCTATGGATTTGCCTGTTCTGGACATTTCATATAGATGGTTAAATTTTTAATATATCAATTTCTATGACATTTTTTTCCCCCTAGGATCCTAAACACTTCAAGTCAGAAAAGACAGGACGGGGACAGTTAAGGGAAGGCTGGAGAGATAGTCATCAGCCCATCATGTGCTCCTACAAGCTGGTAACCGTGAAGTTCGAGGTCTGGGGACTTCAGACCAGAGTAGAACAATTTGTGCACAAGGTAAGTGACGCAGCAGCAGACCCTAGACTGTGGGCGGGGTTGCTGCGGCCCTGACCCTCAGGTCAGAGTGTGCACTGTACAACCACTGCCGAGTGCCAGCCAGGGCAGGCACCTGCCCAGCGTTTCATATATGGTTTGATTTTTCCCCACTGCTAGAAGTAGCTGCTTTATGCTTTGGCTCTCATTTTGCGGCCTCCATGTCCATTGGATGAGTTTATTTGGGAAATGGAGCTTTCAAAATGTACTTGTCACTTGGGCATTGGGCTAATTAATCTACTTACAAGCAGAGGCCCTTGGGAAGGGGCCCCGGGGCTTTTCTGTGTCCACAGGTCCTGAGGGTAATTCTACTCAGAAGATCTTGCAAAAGTAGGTGCCCGAGGCAGACAATGCCTCAAGAGACCAGATGAGCCACCCCAGTGCTCCCATTGGAGGGCACACCTCAGCACTGCCGAGTACTGAAGAATTCTGTTACTGAAGTATTATTAACAACCTCAAAACACAGATTTCAATTGTATACTCACCTTGGCTTAACATATTAATTTTGTAGCAGAAACCTACTTGGTGATGATTTCAGTTTTCTCCTGGTTTTTTACGTGAGGTTTTTCTGCCTGGGAAAAACTCATAGGAAATGCAGTGTTGAACATTGCCCTTTGTAACTTCTCCCATTTTCATAAAAATAAATACTCCCCAAGTTGTCTCTGTATTTCAGATAGGCTGGCTATTTATTTTTCCAGTTAAAAACTGATAAACACAGCTTTACAGAATTCTGTTGGGGGCACTGGAATTTTTCCCTAAATGTACTGAGCTTGTTTCTTAGATGGATTTTTCTACTGAGGGGGGAGCCAATTATAAGAGAAAGTTTGGTTTTGGTTTTAGTTTTATAGTACTGGGGATTAAACCCAGGGACACTACCACTGAACTACATCCGTAGCTCTTTGTGTTTTTTATGTTGAGACAGGGCATTGCTAAATTGCTTAGGGCCTCATTAAGTTGCTGAGGCTAGCATTGAATGTGTGATCCTCCTTCCTCAGCCTCCCAAGTCACGGGCATTACAGGCGTGTGCCACTGTGCCTGGCCTCTGGTAGTTTTTTAACCCAAAATGATCTCCTCTTACTAGGGGACTGTTATCATAGYGCATTTTATTTCCTTTCGCCATGAATGTTTAGATCCTACCAGGGCTCATGCATTTCTTTTCTCACAGATGACTGGCCAGTTTTGAGAATCTGTGATTTTTTAAAATCCTATAAAAGGAGCTGGGGATGCAACTTGGTGGTAGAGCACTCCCTTCACATGTGTGAGGCCCTGGGTTCCATCCCCAGCACCCATACAAGCAAACAAATAAATAAATAAATTTAAAAATTAAAAACCTATAAGGACACTGCTTTATTTACAGGCATTCCATTGTCCATTTCCAAATAAAATGCAGTGTCCAGGATGCATCCAAAACACACCTGCTCTGGCGCATGAGTTGCTAATGAGTATCTGAGGTAGCATTTGCATGGGCTTAAGCATCAGGATGCTTTTCTCTGAACACCTTTGTTTTTGCTTTTTTTTTCCCCTAGACTCTATTCACAGTTAAGGGTGGGGGGATGTTCAAAAGCAAGCCATTAGCACATTATTGAATTCTCATTTCCATCCAACAGCTGTGTTGTGCTAAATGTAATAGGGTATATTTACTAGTGCCTCCATGCTGTTCTTTTGATTTCCACGAATTTTACACACTCAGCACTCAGTGTGTGCATGGCTGGGTGTTGTTTCTTATGGTCCTTATGTGTTTCCTATTTCCAAGTCATAAAAGCCCCACTAGATATCTAGAGGCCTGGGGGAATAAACACTTTGTTATAAATGCTTCCCTTATTTCTTCAAATTCACCAAATTAAAATCCTTCATTTATTAAAATACGCATGAACCTCCCATGAGAGGTTTTTGACAGTCATTGGCTTTGTTTGACAGGAAGACAGGAATGTTGGGAGGAGACTGTGGGTATCCAAGAAATGTAAAAAAAAAAAAAAAACAAAAACAAAAACAAAACTTATTTATACAGGTTGCAAAAGAGTATCATGAAATAAAAGCATGTGAACAGCAACAGTCTTAGACACATATGCAAATGGTATATTTTACTTTCCTCAGTCTTCTATTGCCAACATGCGTCCCTGTAAGAATCAAGTTCATTCCTTTGTCTCCAATGGAGCTTACCATTCCTATCATCTTCTATTCCAATTCAGGTCTCTTATTTCATCTCTCTCAAAATAGTTGTCTAAACTGTTTTTCCCCCCTTCTTCTACATGAAACTCAAGCCTAGAAGGGTATTTACTTACTTGTGTGCTACACCTTGATTTACTTTTTTAAATTAACTCATTATTTAACATATTATATCAGACAAGTGGGAAGGTCTTAACCTTGCTGGCAGGTCACTTGCTACCTAAAAAAGGACTCTTGATTTCCAGCTTTATCTTCCTGGCACMAGAGAGAAAGACAAAAGTCAGAAAGTAGATACTGTTCCGGATAGAGATAAACGAAAAAGAAAACCTTAGGCTGGGGCTCCCAGAGATGCATTCGAGTCACTGCTGTGTGACCSTCTTGTAGTTGTTAGTTTGTACAAACCCCTGGCTCGACTCTCAAATACCCTGAAGTGATTAATTTACAGCAAGTGTGTGCCTGCCCTAGAAAGGGCCGGGGACAAGCGGGCATGATACCTGCATGTCAGCCCGCAGTTGTCATCAACTGTGGACAAAGGGATTGAAGAATCCATACTGCCAAGACTCCCAGAATTGAAAACGACTATTTTCCAGAGAGTCCCGATCCAACCTGGTATTATTTCAACCTCCTTCTTTTCCTTTCTAGGTGGTTCGAGACATCCTGCTGATTGGACACAGACAGGCTTTTGCATGGGTTGATGAGTGGTATGGTAAGTCAGTTTCCCCGAAATAACTTGTAGAACAATTTCATGACATTCAGCTTGGGCTTTCAATCCCTCTGGCTTCAACTCTTACCTAAAAGGACAACAAAGGCAGGCTCCAGCTTCCTGTATTGAAACACCATCCACCAAGCATAATAAAGATGTAATTATAGAAGCTTGGTCTAAAATAACCACAAAGATATTGACTAAGTAGGACCTTGGTATATTTGATGCTTACATAGTTGATATGCAGGGCTCTACCATTCTCTGCTGGATGGATTTCAAACCCATCCTAATTTATCCCAGACTTCAAGATCAAAGCTTTCTGAAGCATCATGTCAAGTAAAAGCACTCCTTTGATTCAGAGAACACTTGAAACAATTCCTCATCAGATACATACAGGTTCTGTGAGAATTCAAGGACAGACAAAGGCATAGGTACCCGTTAATCCTAATTAAAACTATTGTYCTGACCTTTTTCGTGATATGAGAAGGTTGAACAGGTTCTGCACATTGCCAGTAAACCAAAACAAGGTTTGCTTCATCCCAAGACTGGATGGACCACCCTCCCCAAATCCTCAGCACTCTCCTTTTGTCCACACAAATCCTCTGCATTCCCAGAATCAGTCATCAGATGGCTTCTGTCCCTGGCTATAAATAGAAATGCATACGCCCAATGGGTGACTTAGGTTAGATCTGACTCTCAGATCGATTGTCTAATGAAATGCCCTCCTCTTTGGCCTTTTCCTAAGTCACATTACATTTGTTCTGAGTGTAACCTAGATTGCGTTTTGGTCCTTTTCCATCATTGTTCCACCAATTCCCTCCCTTTTCTTAGCAGAAGGCACACAATTTAAAGTAAGAGGATATGCAGGACAGAATGGGCAGACAGTGACGGTTATTAATGTTGCTAGCTCTTTCTGAGCCACATTTGAAAAGGCATGGTTCTGTCGGCTGAGGTCTTTCGCTTTGTTTTGTTTTAATCTTCCCAGATCTAGACCAATTAAAAAGTAAAATGCGTCTGCCTGGGTTTGTTCAAACACAGAGCACCAGTTACTCTCTCCCCACACATCTCCAGGATGCTACTTTAGGCAGCAAGTTGTCATAAGTCTTCCATAGACCTGTCTGTTGGTGTTGTCTTTTTTGAGACAGGTAGACAGAGTCTCCTCTGATGGTTAAACAAATCTTTCTGGGTGTTCTTTTTGCTGGGAAGCTTTTCTCAGATGGAACCCCAACATCAACAAAGGTTAGGAGCTTCTGGCCTCTCCTGACTTGTACTTCTCAGAGCTCATGGTTTCCTTGTTACCAGCTCCAAGGGAATATCCAAAGGATATTCCAAGAATAATAGGCTTGAACCAATTGGCAAGAGGACAGGACCTGAAGACCCAAAATCTGCCACTTTAAAGACCAAGAGACAGGGCACTTGGACCGGTTTCTCTCTAGCCCCAGAATGCCATTGAGGACTTTCCAGTAAGGGCAACATCAAAAAGAGTAGCCGGCCTCTGATCAAGAGGACAAAGCAGGGCTARGGGTGTAGCTCTGTGGTAGAGCGCTTATCTAGCATGCTCAAAGCCCTGGGTTCAGTCCTCACCGCTGCCCAGAAAAAGGGGAGCTAAACACTGCAAAGCTGTTAAAAAGGAAAGAGGGTTTGATTAAATACAGGATATTAGCAGGGAAAAAATCATGGGTGAGGGCTGGGATTGTGGCTCAGTGATACAGCACTTGCCTTACATGTGGGCCCTGGATTCCATCATCAGCACCCCATAAAAATAAATAAATAAAACAAAGGTATTGCATCCATCTACAATTTTAAAAAAGTTTTTTTCTTTTAAGTCACGAGTGGGGCCAGGTTGTGGCTCAGTGGTAGAGCACTTGGCTAGCATGTGTGAGGCACTGGGTTCAATCCCCAGCACCACATAAAAATAAATAAATGAAATAAAGTTAAATAAATAAAGATAAAATAAAGGTATTGTGTCCATCTACAACTAAAAAGAAAAAAAAATCATGAGTGGCTATCCAGTAAGTGAATGGCTAAGTACGGAGAATAGGGATGATTCTTTCCTATCTCAGCTGCACCTATGGCAACTTAAAGGCATTTAGTTGAAAGAGAGAGAGGCTTGCCTAGCATGTGCAAGGACCTAATTTAAATCTCCAGCACTGCAAAATTGAGCAGGATGGAGAGTAAAAGGAAAAGAGAAAATTCTCAGATTTTTATAGAAGCCCAAAGCTAGAACACCAAACCAAGTGAAATGGGAGCTCTCCAGCCCGGAGACCTTCAGGAACGGAACACCTGCCTACCTGCTTAGGGTGGGTTAGGTGAGGGAGGTTAACAGCTCAAGGAGTCTTATTACTCAAAAAGTCCTTTCTGTACCTGAGTGAAAAAAAAAATAAAATAAAAAGAGTACAGGGCTGGGGTTGTGGCTCAGTGGCAATGAGCTTGCCTAGCATACGTGAGGCACTGGGTTTGATCATCAGCACCCCATACAAATAAATAAAATAAAGGTCCATCAACAACTAAAAAATATATATTTAAAAAAGAGTACAGGGCTGGCGTTGTGGCTCAATGGTGGAGCGCTTACCTTGCATGTGTGAGGCACTGGGTTCSATCCTCAGCACCACATAAAAAATAAATAAATAGATAGATAAACAAAATAAAGTTATTATGTCCAACTGCAACWAAAAATAAAAAATAAATAAATAAAAGAGTACAGACTTTAGTGGACGTAGATATCAAAGCACCTTGTTCTCCCCAGCGTGGGTCTCCACCCTCTATATCCACATCCCTGGCCCCAACCATAACAAGTAGCCTTTTCACTCAGTAAGGGGTCTGAGAGCCACACCATCAATTTCACACTAACTACCCGCAGGCACCAGCAGCCAACTGAGCTGCCAGCCGGAGTACAGTGGCTCCTTCATTACCTGATGCAGACACTTGGGAAATCAAATGAATGGAAACAGCCCGAGCCCACAGAGTCTTCTCAGCCACTTATTCAGAGAAATGCTGAAGACTCTGGGCTTTTTAGGTAAATGTGTGTGTCTTTGTTACCAAGGCCAAGCGCATGCAGGATAACCCTGYAGTTCGGGGTACCTGAAGTTGCTTTTTCTTTCTCTGGTCTGGTCATTAGTAAACATGGAAAAGGCCTAAGGTAATGAATCCCTTGCCTCTAGCTGTAATTCATAGCACTGATACTCAAAGTTAGGTCCCTGAGCCTTCAATATCAGCATCCTCTGGATATTTATTAGAAACACATATTCTTAGACACTCTGCCCCCCGCCYACCAGGCTAAACTTGCCAATTCAGAATCTTTGGTGGGGTGTAAATCAGCAATCTGTGTTTTAACAAGCCTTCCAAACTATTGGTTTATAGCATGGGCTGTATGCCAGATTGGATTGAAAACAACAGTTTAGTTAGTTCAGTTCCAAATAGGTTAAACTGGAGAATTGTAGGTGTCTTCAGGGCCAACTGCGGGACTCTGATGTTTTGTGAGAATTAGAAAAAAAGCACCCCTTTTAAACAGAAAAACTAGAAAAAGATGCTTCTTCTGGGCAGAGCCAGCAGGTGCCATGGGTTTGAGGCTGGATGTCAGCCGCCTCCCCTCTGCTGCTGTGTGCCGGTGCAGTGCACCCTTACGCAGCAGAAGCCCTGGCTGTCTTTCTCTCTAATTAGACTCACCACCTCCAGTGCTTAATTAAGAACCAAGAAAAGAGACATTGTAGAAGATGGTGATCTTTTCTCACCCAAGGATTAATTTTACATCTTTTCTGCATTCCAGCATTTGGCTGTCACGAAACTATTTCCCTAAACAGATTTTATTCTGCCTGTGTTCATTGTGAAGTGTATCCCTTTCCATTTGGAGGAGTTGAGTTTGTCTTTCGAAGCGCTGATTGGTCTTTACCCATGAGCCTTGGGTCTCTCTGCATGACTAGAACACTAATCAGAGAGGCAACAACAACGCATTTCAGGAGACGGGGTGAGAGGAGAGGTGGATAAAAATAGCCAGCCCAGGTTCACAAGAGCATGTTTTTGCTTCACGAATCTGACAGTATTTTGAGARAGGAACACTAAAGATTGCCAGAGGGAGCTGTGACTGAGTGAAACCTAATGAATGTCTTTGAAAACCAAACTCTTCCCAAAAAGTATGAGGGATATACAAGGAGAAGTTGGGGCTGATGTAGATGAAACAGTCCTCATGAAAGTGACTTAGCGATCAGCCTGGAGCCCCTGGGGCAGGCCTAATCATGGTGAAGCAGGCTCAAAGCAGAGACAAGCCTGCTAGAGGCTAGCTCAGCTGGTTGAATTCACTAAGCCASCATTTTCCAATGGTGTATTTCCATTTCCCCTGAAATACAAACCTGAGCACCGTGGCTCTTGTGCAACATTTTAGGTGTGTGTGCTCAGGCTCATTTTTGCTAATGAGACAGCTCATAGCTTTCCAGAAGATTTTCAAAGGAATCGCTGAACCCTCTTCTCCACCCCTAATTACAGAAAAAAATCACAACTTGATAGTTCTAGATCTCCATGGTCTGAATCACATGGAAAGGGCGTGCACCAAGCCTTTCAGTACCAAYAAGTGGAGGCACCCTGAACTTTTTGTAACAAGCGTGTATTGATTCCATGATCATTTTAAAGGGTTAAACAGTGGCACTTCCCAGAGCATGCATGGCCACCATTTTACTGGAGCTAAAGGAGTATCCAGTCTAATTCATGATTGCTAGATCCTCCCCAACACAACTACGTGTTCAAGATTTCAGTTTTAACCTAGTATGAAGAAAACATGACCTCTGTTTTAGCTGAGGAGCCAGGAAGTAGAGAGAGATTATGTTTATAGAAAAAAGCAAAGGAAAATGTGCCATTGAACAGGTCCTTGAATTCAAGTATGAGTCTTTCCTTTTTACAACTTTGGCTGCTGCAACTGTTCAGTACAGTAGAGGAGAATTTGTGCTTGCAGACGCTTTGTTTCAGGGCATCTGTAATATCTCTCCATGTTTAAAGACTTAGATCCTAACGGC